ATACACGATGTGGGAATTCAGATCTTCCTCGTGCGGTCTCTGGAGCTTCAGACTGCAGATATGGTCTTTGTTCACTGTACTAATGTCTTTATTCAGTTTCAGCTCAACAGACATCTCGTTTCATTGCGGTACACCGATGCCACATATAGACGGCTCGAAGGAGGCGCAGACTAAGGCTCATCAGTGGCGCCAGATAACGGGGTTCGAATTGATGAACGCTATTTGTTCTGTTACAAGCAAGGGTCAGCAGATTCAACCCTCTAAACGCTGAATCAGTTACCTGCACGGAAATCATCGGGGATCATGGTGAGATTGGCGCCGTTGAGCTGTATCACGGCCTAAGCAGAGAGCCATGTCAATGCTTGGATTGGGAGAAGGATGGGTGTACCAACCTTATTTTTCGGCGCAAACTGCGTCCATTCAGGACCTATACGAGCCCGTGTTAACACTTAATCGACGCAAAATCGAGCGGGGGCGCTTACGCGGAATTCCCAGACCGTCGTTGGGCGTAAGGCTCGTCGCGAAGGAAACCCAGTAGTCGGTCATCAGGCGGCTAATGGTGAGGGCTGAGGTAGAGTTGTCGCTCGGGGCACCATAAACGAAGGGAACCTCGGAGCCATGGAAAACTAGACAGACATCAGATGCGCTGATTGCACGGAACTGTAGAAATCGAAACGAACCGCCTTCCGCGGGCGGAGAATTGGGCTGCGGCTGCGTGAATAGATAGCCCCACGTCGGGACGCCTGCATTTGCAGCCGTCTCAATCCAGAGGCGGCGTTGCGAGGCAAAGTCCAGATCGCAACCTGTCCAGAATTAGGTGAGTTGTCTATCATTGCATACGGAGGTGCTAACCGATTGCTGCCGCGCGTTTGTATTGGCTGCTCAGCCCGAAGGTCTCGTTTCCAGTGTTAAAAGGGGAGCCTGGATGCGATGGATGGTAGGCATGCGACGTTCACAAGATGCACTAACCTAGTTCGGGGATGTCGGGATACAATTGCAATAGCTTTTCAGTAGAGCTCTCGAGAGTCGCTGACGAGACAGAGGGAGTGTTCATGGCGATGATCAACGCGAGGATTTCGTCGCTGGAATTTATGGCGGGCGAGATGAAGTCGGTGCCTGGAAAAAAGCATGAGAACAAACGGGAAATAAGAACGAAGTCGGTCGCATACCTTCGTCCAGATTGGTTCCCGCAATAAATGGCAATCGCGAAAAGTGTCCGCGGCTGAACAGAACGGAAGGCAAGTCAGGGATGAGGCCTCCCGGCCCGTCGATGACGGGATCCCATGGGAACTCCTCAGTCGCGTCCACCATAGCCGTCGAAAGGCCTGCGAATATTTCAGTTGTATTTGCCTCGCGCAGACACGCGAAGGTTGATCCGGACGTCGCTACGGAGGCGCAGGACGCGACGCCACCGACGAAGGTCTCCCAGTCGCTCTCGCGGCGCTCGGGGGTGAACAGGCCGGAGGTCGCCTGGGACCCGGACTCGAAGATCTGTGTATCATGTTAGTCGAAGGCGCGGACACGGAGAGTTTTTTTCGTACTGCTGCTCTAGCGAGAGTCTCGATGGGGGAGTTCAAAAACAGGATAGAGGACATTATTGCGCCGGCACTCTCGCCAAATACGGTAACCTTTTTTGCGTGAGTTTAGAGGGAGAAAATCCAGAGAGACCAAGTGCCTTATCCTTGTCGCCACCGAAAGTTCCGATGTTCAACTGGACCCATTTGAGGGCGGCGAGTTGATCTTTGAGGGCCAGGTTCAGGGCGCCTTTGTTGTCGGCTTCCTGTCCTTGCGGGAACCCCAATGGCCCCAGGCGATAGTTGAAATTGACGTAGACAACCGGCGTTCCCTTGAATAGGATCAGCTCTAATGTTAGTAGGACGATTCGGATAACTCAGCGTACACGAGCAGCACTTTGGGCGACAATTCCGCTTCCGTTGTAGATCATCGAAAGACCCTCGGTGAATCCACCGCCGTATCTAGGAAGAGCTTAGTATACTGAGCTACCGTGGAAAAGAAGGTCAATCACGTCCAAAACATCTTGATGCACGTCGTTAGTCGCCCGGCTAAACGTGAAAAAGAAAATCAAAACTCGCCACAGGGAGCTTGGCGTCAGCGGGGGTTCCGGTAGGGCGATAAATGTTTATCGTCAAACAGTCTTCCGACATAGTGTCAAGCGGGAGGTCCTGGATGGTTGATCCAATTAGCGGAGGAAAAGGGAATGCGAGGGGCCATACCGTCTGCAGGCATGCAGGTCCGTAGCTGCTGGCATCAAGTGTGCCTTGGTCGGGAAGTGGCTTCAGCACAGGGGGCTGCAGGCGCAAATGTCCAAGAGGCGGTTCCGCGAAAGGGATACCTTGAGCGGAACGTGAGTTAGATACGAGGCACATTTTTTATGGCAACAAACCTCCGAAGAAATCCACCCCAAGGAGAGTGATATCGAGGCCAACGAGCGTAGTGTTTCCCAGCTTGATAGTCGGCGAGGCATCGACGCCGACGAGCGCCAGGGCGGTGAGAAGGCTGAGCAGGAGCAGCATTCTAGTCGGAGATACTACGTGGCACGTCCGGACGCCCGCGCGTCCTTAAGTAAGTACAACACCATTGGAGCCGACCCGTTGTTGAGCTGCCGGAGGTTGACGGTCTCACACGGTGGGATGTAACCGCGGCAATTGAGTTGGTGAGCCGTTCCGGCTTTACGGTCACCCGACCGCCTGCGGTACTCGAGATCCTCTTATTATTCTCTTCTTTGAAAAAACAGCCATGGAACTTGCGTAGTTCCTTGGATCACTCGTCGGGTGTCAACGAGCTGGACTATTCTTGAAGTCGAGTGATCACGGCAACTTCAGGCTGGCAGCGCCGACTTGGCAGCGACGCGTTGAAGTTGTCAAGTTGAAGTTATATCTCCGGTGGCGCTGGGAGCTCAACACAAACACGGAGATAAATAGAAAGGTGAGTAGAAACCAAGTAGAAACAGACTCGAAATCGAAGCCAGACTTTGGCAGTTGGCGTCGCGACGCGACGCGCGGCTTTAGCTTGCCCCTGTGACCGTGACCGTGACTGTCATAGGCTGAAACACTCTCACAGTACCAGTGGCAGCTCACCTTGCACTCACCGGACAAAGACCCCCGACCGGACGCATGCGCGGACGCGGTTCAACTTCAAGCGCGCCGAGCGCGCCCGCTCGAAATACCGTCAACGCAGGCTATCATCCGTATCGTCACTACCGCGCCACAGCAGCCGGGTCTGCTTCCGCCGGCACCGCGCCCGCCAGCGCGAATGGCGGCTTAGTCCACACAAAGTCGCGGTTGAAAGGGGACAAACCCGCTTTCAATGACTGGGAGAATCTTGCGGTCGACCACCGCCGCGAGCAGGTATACAGCTACGGCGGCGTACGCCCGTATGACGAGGATTACACCCCCACGTCCGATTTCTATCGCTTAGACTTGAAAACGATGACATGGGAAAATCTGACTGTGGGTATTCCATCTTATTCTGGCTGCACATCAGTCCTCACCCGTGTATAGCACGCGCTTCGCTTCCGCCCGAAAAACTACATCCCCGACCCGTTCGCGGAGAACCCCGAGTTCGAGTTGCGCGCGCTGCCGGCGCTGACTGAGCCCGCGATCGACCTCGTCTCGCTGGGCGGCAGGAGCTTCTTGTTCCTTTTTGGGGGCCATGATTCGCAGGGCCCGACCGCGGATCTCATTGCAATCGACCTGGACGAGTACGTGTGGTGGTTCGTCGACGTCCAGGGCACGCCGATCCGCTCGCGCATGTCTGCGTCTATGGTCGCCATCGACAACCGCCTCTTCGTCTTCGGCGGCCGCGTCAAGTTCGACGACAAAGGTCCCGCCATCCGCACTTATTCTGTGGCGGTGTACAATCCCGATACGCGTTGGACGTGGGTGATCTCGGATACGCCCATGCCGCGCGATCTTCCTCCCTTGGGATTCAGTATAAATGCTACCCCGGTATATGGTGGCCAGAAGATTCTGCTCACGCAAGGACGAATAAAAAATGACAAGGTGACTCCTTGTCCACAAGCTACTTATGCGCGGTCGCTCAATATTATTTCCAGCCTATCGACCTCTCCCGAGAATCGACCATCTTCTTCCACACACAAAATTATACATTCCAGGATGCGCGTACCACAATGGGCACCTTCCCCACCGGAATATCGTGGTTCAAGCTGGGCTCCGTCGACGCAGTCCCACGCCCCTCAACACTCGCATCGCCCCGCCGCCCCGGACGCCCTCCCAAAAACGCTGTGGCTGAGGTGGTACCCGCATCTATCAACTTCCCCCCGTCCGCCGTGATGTTCGGCTGGGTCAAACACAGCCCGGACAGCGACAACCTCGTCCCCGAGGTGTGGCAGTACCTTCTCCCCCCCGCGGAGCAGATCCGGTGCCTCAATCTGGGCGGCATGGTCTGGGACCTGGCGCTCGACCTGCAGGCGTTTGTCTCCGTGGGGAATCGCTTGTTCCTACTTGGGAGCGAGGAGGGGCGGGACGCGGGGGAGGGCGAGGGCGACCAGATGCAGGTAGATAAGCCGCTGCCGTGCTGGGATATCGCTGTGGAGATTTCGTCGCAGTATCTGATTCAAGCTTAACATTATGGTATGTGTCTGTACAACAGAGCTGTTTCTCGCTCTCTTCTTGGAGGATGTTGTTGTGTCTTGAGTTATCTTTGAAATATAGGCGCACCAGCTGACTTCCACACCGCCAATCGATTTTTTTCTTCTTCATACACGAAAATTGAAACACCCTTCTCACCCTCCCCCGTATTTTCTCTCACACTCTGGCGACCACAAAACAGGGTAAATCAAGCAGTATGGTGTATTGTGCACACGGGATTCCTTTGGATACTCGGCGTCATTCGCTTCCCGACGTCCTTGTTCGGATCAAGGTGCTGCTCTGAATCTGTCTCTGTCAAAGCAGAATTTTTGTTCCCTCTTCAGTTCACGCAATTCTCGCCCTTAATTGGGCTCTGAACACGGCGAATCAAGCAGTATGGTATAGTGCGCACGCGGAGTATTGATGTTGAAGAGATATGTCATCGCCCCGAGGTCCTGGTTCGAATCCAGGTGCTGTTCTGATTCAGAGCAGACTCTTTTTTCCCTCCCCTCCCTCTTCAGTTCACGCAATTCTCGCCCTTAATTGGGCTCGGAACATGGTGAATAAAGCAGTATGGTGCGGGGAGTATTGGTGTTGAGGAGATATGACATCTTCCGAGGTCCCGGTTCGACTCCGGGTGCTGCTCTGGCCAGTCCAGCCTCTTTTTCTCTCGGTTCGGAGAATCCATCTCGCCCTTCATTAGGCTAAGAATAGGGTAAATCCAGCAGTGTGGTGTATCGTGCACAAGTTCCATACACCGCCGAAGAAATCAACGTTCGAATCCAGGTACTGCCATAGCCAGATCAACTGTTCGTTTTTCTAACTCAGTTCTCCCAATTCTCTCAACTTCATTGAGCTCGAAACAGGGCACTCAAAGCAGTATGGTGTGTCGTGCACACGGGTCTCTTTCGGATGAGGTCAGCCATGGTTCACCCCGGGGTCCTTGTTCGAATCAAGGTGCTGCTGTGTCATGTTGGCTTCAAGTTGTTTTTAGGCCAGCAGCTGGCGAAATTACTATCGCTTCACCAGCCACAAATCAAGATAATTCAAGCAGCATGGTGTATTGCGCACGCGGGGTTCCGTTGTGGAGGTTATTAAGGCGTTAACCCCGAAGTCCTTGTTCGAATCAAGGTGCTGTTCTTCGGGCTAATTTCGACATGTTTTTTTACCCCCTGAGCTCATTCTCAATTCCAGCACTCCACGAAAACAGTATGGCGTGGTGCGCACGGGTTCCCTTTCAGATGTGCAATTGTTCGCCCCAAGTGTCATGAAATTCAAGTGCCCAGGTGTTCGACAATTCGAATGGAGGCAAACAGATGCTCGGTGTTGCAGTTTTTTGCTTTTTATTTCGCAGATTTCTCATCCACCAAGCGCAAAACAGGGTGATTTATGTAGGGTGTACACGTGTGGGATCAAAGGCGCGCTCGATCAGAAGGTCGCGTTATTGTCGTGTATTGACCGCCGGCTTCCTTTAAGAAGGGCGGCCCTAGGCTTTCCTCTTCTTCCTCTCTCCCACCATCTGCCCAAATCGCGTCCAACATGAGTGCAAGGCAACCCTTTGTCCCTGGAAATGGCTTCGCCCCTTCCTCAAGACCCGAGTCGCGTGCAGCACACGCCAATGCCGCGCCGTTGACGACTCCTCTTCACTTCGTCGCGGACGCGTCGAATCCTCTTCACGGTGGCAGCACTACCAACCAGACGAACGCAGACAACGCTCCCCTAAACATAGGCTCCCTCACCAAGAGCACCCGCACCCAGAACCCCCCTCCTCGCCGTCAATCCGTCCAAACTCCTCGTCCTGCAACCGCCGATCCGCGCTCGTCTTCTGCCACCAACCGCACCTCTGACGCCCATTCCAAGCCCAAAGCCGTCCCGAACCACAGGCTCCAAGCCCACGCGCACGCCAAGCACATCGTCGCCCCAACCCCGCTCCAGGCGCGCGCCGCGCCGTCCCTCTTCTCCAACGCGCCGCCCGCCTTCAAGACCCCGGCGCTGCCCGACGCGCACGGATTCCGCACGCCGACGAACGACCCGGCGCGCTCCCCTGAAAACGACGCGCCCGAGAACGAGAACGCGAACGCATCCTTCCGCCTCAAGACGCTCCCCAGCCAGCCCGGCCCGCACCGCCACGCGTTCGGTGCGCGCGCGATCATGGACCTCAGCGGAGACGACGAGGTGTTCGAGGTGCCCGAGGGCGCGCGGAACAAGCGCGCGCGCTCCGAGGTCGACGACGACGAGGGCGACGAGCACGCGTACGCCGCCCCCGCCGCCTCGAAGCGGTTCAAGGCGCAGGTGCACGTCGAGGTGCGTTCTTTTCTCTCTTTAAGTTTGTCTACCTTGCTAACCGGTCGCGCAGAACGACGAAAACGCGTACCGCCGCTCGTCGGCGGACGAACACGAGTTGAACGAGATGTACCACCGCTCCTCGAGCCCGGCCGAGTACGCGCCCCCGCCCCGGCCCAGCAGGCCCGCCGCCCCGCGCACCAATCCGCCAGCTCGAATCCCGCCGCGCACCGCTTCGCGCCCCAGCCCCAATACGCCGACCCTCAGCCCCAGCCCCACCCCCAGCATCAGGACAGCAGCTCCGACCTCGCGAGCCTCGCGCACGTCCTCAAGGCCGAGCACCTCCTGGGCGATCTCGAGCTCGACGCGCTGGGCGACAAGTACGCGCGCGCGGCGGAGAAGTGGCGGGCGTGTAGCCGCGAGGAGTGGGCGGCGGGCGCGGAGGGTAGGCTTGCCTTCTTTCCTCATTCCTTCGTCCTTCAAGTTCGCCTTCGCCTTCAAGCTTCAATCCTTCCTTCATTCTTCTCCTTTTTCGTTATTCGTCCATGATGCAGCGCGCTAATCGCCTCCGTCCCTTTTAGACCTGACCGCGCTGTACACCAAGATATTCGATTTCGTGCGTCGTCCCCTTCCTTTTACTTTTACTTTGGACTCGTATCTGACGGACGCGCAGGCTAAAGAGCACATGACGTGCGTTCTTTTCCCTTTTCTTTCTTTTCCTTTCCTCTTTCTCTCATCCGTTCCTCCCCTCCGTTAATCCAACACCAACATTCTAACCTGCCCCATGGCCCCCAGCGAGAAACTCGCCCTCTTCACGAACTGCGACGCGCGCCTGGCGACGCAGCGCGGCGTCCTCGCGGAGCGCGACGGGCTGCTGGGCGCGGTGAAGGAGGGGCTCGTGGCGGAGAGCGCGCGAGTGTTGGGGGGTGCGCGAGTGGTGGATGAGTGAGTGAATGAGTGGTGGATAATTCAGTGAGTGAGTGGGAGTGAGGGGTTGAAATTGCTAGTCTCCATGGCTTCGTTCCTTTGCTGTTTGTGTTTTTGCTCCGCTTCGCGTTTCGATAGCGACTCTCTGTGATTCTGTGCGTTTTGTCAGGTTGTAATTCGATAGATTTCTCTCCGGTCGTTGGTGCGTGGGGCGCATGGTTGGATAGAAAGTACGAATTCGACGAGGTCTTGCTGGCTCACTTGAGAAGTTGAACTAAGAATATTAATCAGATGGACACTGGATTCTTCTTTTTATGTATGCTCCCAACTGTCAGTCGTCTGGAGGCGTGCACTGAGAACAGGGCTAACTTCATAAACATGTAAAGTCTTAGCGCGTAGGCCTTATTGTAATATGGACTTACATATGGACTGCGGATAATCGAATTGCCAAACCTGCGAGTTCGATGGCTCGTTTAATTCCACGACGTTGTATGATGGATGATGGGTGTGCCCTCTCTGTCCAGTTTTGCCTAGGGTGAGGCCTCCCGCGGCGATCAGAAGGTTGCTTTGCGGACTAGAACTCGGACACTGAGGGATGGAATCCAGCTTGAAACCCCCTGAAACGACCGATTGTCCTACGAGGAGGAGAAATTACGGGCCGTATATTTTAGCTCAGCCTTGTTCTTAAAGCTCCCGGATAGAATGTGACCGGGAATTAATAGGTAGCGCACCCGGTGCTTGGAACTTCGAGATCTGCCTCAAGCTCCGCTGCATGGCGACACCTTTTATTTCTAAAATATTGTCGGCATCTTTCTCTGATCATCAAGCGCCCACAAAACATTTCTGCCATCTGGCGAACGGCGGTTAGCATAAATTGCCAAATGCGGATTTGGGCGTAGCGGTATTTGTTTCGGCTTTCCGCACGTGGCGCACAATTTCTCTTCTCTTCTCCAATGCCGAGTCCCTCCAGCTCCAGCTCGGAGGCGTCCTTCATTCTCGTCGGCGGCGAAACGCAAGCGCACGACTCGACCACACCGACGCCCCCCAAGCGCGCCCAGGAACCCAGCGTGAACAACCTCCTTTTCCATAATTTCGTTTTGCCACGAGTTGACCTTAGCTGCAGGCCGTCCACCCTTCGACGGACCCCAAGTACACCGCGGGGAGCGTCCCGAGCTACGCGCACGACTGGTCGGCGCAGGGCACCGGCGGCGGCCTGCGCACGCACGGGCGGCACTTCGTCGACGCGTACGGGCGCGTGTGCGGGCTGCGCGGCGTCAACCTCGGCGGGGCGTGCAAAACGTGAGCCGCGCCGCGAAACGGCTTCGCGCTCGCTGACGTCTTGTTTCTACCCCTGCAAGACCGGCGAACGACGACAACGCGACGTTCCCGGCGGGGCACGAGTCCGTCACGTTTGTCGGGCGGCCGTTCCCGCTTGAGCAGGCGCCGGACCACCTCGCGCGGCTGAGGCGGTGGGGGCTGACGTTCGGTGCGTCTTATCTGCTCTTCTGCCGCACACCTCATCCTAATGTACTGGCAGTCCGTTTCCTGGTGACCTGGGAGGCGATAGAGCACGAGGGACCGTACGTGTTCTCCCGCCCGCCTATGCTTCATCTCACCGTTTCCACCAGGGGCATCTACGACACCGCCTACCTCGCCTACATCCGCGACCTTCTCTCCCTCTTCCCCCAGTACGGCATGTCCGCCTTCGTCTCAATCCACCAAGACGTCTGGTCGCGCTACGCCGGCGGCTCCGGCGCGCCCGCCTGGACGCTCGAGGCCGTCGGCTTCGACTTGCACGGGCTGGAGGAGAGCCACGCGGCGTGGCTGCTGGGCGTCAAGGGCGGGGGGCACGTCGAGGAGGAGCGCGGGCTGTGGCCGTGCGGGTACCAGAAGCTCGCGGCGGCGACGATGGCGTGCGTGCTTTCTCCTCCTCTTTTCCGTCAGCGTGATTGAATGTAGTGAAGGACGTGCTTCTGGGCGGGCGACACCTTCGCGCCGAAGCTGCTCATCAAGCGCAACGGCGTCGACGTGCCGGTACAGCAGTTCCTCCAAAACGCGTTCCTCGACATGTCGGCCGAGCTGGCGAAGGCCGTGGGTGACCTCCCCGCCGTACTGGGCTTCGAGGTGCGTTTCTTGCTCTTACTCTTACCCACCCGCGTGCCTCATCTGACTGATTTATTTTAAAGATGATGAACGAGCCCCACAGAGGGTACATCGACCTCAAGTCCCTGCACGAGTTCGACTATAACACCGACCTGCACCTGTCCTATATCCGTGCGTCCCCCTCCTCCCCTCACTAAGTCCGCGCCTGACGCGCCCCAGCCTCCCCCTTCGAATCCTTCCAGCTCGGCGCCGGGCACCCCACCGTCGTGTCCCACTGGACGCGCTCCTTCCCCATGCCGACGCGCAAGACGTCCGCCGCCGTGCTCAACACCGCCGGGCGGACGGCCTGGCGCGCGGACGGGCCGACGCGCGGGAAGTGTGTGTGGGCTGCGCATGGGGTGTGGGGGTGGGACAAGGGGAAGGACAGCGCGGTTGTGCTGCGCGAGAATTATTTCGTGAGGCATCCGCGGACGGGGGATAAGGTGCGCGTTGCGGCAGCGATGTAAGAATACGCTGATTAGGTGGACAGATCGACTGGTACACGGACTTCTACTACCCGTTCCTGCACAAATGGGTGGAGACGGTGCGGGGCGTGTCGCCGGCGGAGAAGCTGGTGTTTGTGGAGGCGGTGCCGAATGAGGTGCGCTTCCTCTCTTCCGCTCTTCCTCTCCTCCTCTTGCTGCCTCGCCTAATTTTTTTTCTTCATTGTAGTTCTGCCCTGCCTCGTGGACGCCCGTGCACCGCGTGCCGAATATGGTGTACGCGCCGCACTGGTATGATCTGAACGCGCTGTTCGCGAAGGCGTTTGGGGACTTTACGGTTAATGT